AAAAAAAAGTCTATTTATCATATTCCACTGGAAATGTCTGCATTCAAGGACAAGGTAGAGTTCCACAAGCCCAAAACTCAGGATCTGCAGGGGAGGCTTTGCTGGGGCTATCTTCTAAGGCAATTTGGATTCAGGCAGCCAAATATTAACTAAATCCCTAAGAATGCTGATGTCTCGAGATTCAGAGAGAAGCAGAAATGCTCTGTTGCTAGGATAGGTTCCTTGGAAATAATTGATTAATTTACAGCCAACTTTTAAGCAGCAGCTGGTGTTGCATTGAAACTCTGGAGGTAACATTAGGAAAACCTTCATTTGAGAACAGAGTGTGATTAGAATACTGTCAGTATCAATCTTGTCATTCTGCTTATTCATTCCGGATACGCAGCTTCTAATCCTTGATGTGTTTCATTTCTTGTATACATTTCATTCAGTCAGCAAGACAGAAACTGACACTCCCTCAGTTGTTGCCTCTCTGATGTGGCCTGTGGCCTATTGTTTGGCCTTGCTTCTTTTCCCTTCTTAATTTTCTCCAAACAGCCAACTGGTGGAATGTGGCCCCGTGTGAATTGGCACATATGTAAAGAAGCTTTGCTTCACTGCTTTGTGGCTGCGTGTTTTAAAATGAATATTGCTATGTTCCTCTTAAAGGGATCATGGGACTTTTCAAAAGTCCTGCATACTCTGCCAATTACTTAAGTAGATAAAGTGGTTTATCCTGGATTTGGTTTAGTAATAGATTTATTGCAGAGCATATCATTATTTTAGATAAGAAATAAAAATGCTTCAAAGGGCTTATTAAATTAAAAGGTTTGAATGGAAGGTGAATGTAACCTCCCCCCCCCCNGGGAAACAAAGTTGTCTGCTAGGTTCGTTAGGAACCTGTTGGATCTTCCACTTGGTGCAGAGTTTGTTTCCCAGTCGATGTCAGGGTAGTTAAAATCTCCCATTATTATTGTGGTGTGCTTCCTACATACCTTATTAGGTGACTAGCAAAAAGTTCATCTACTTCCTCTGCTTGGTTGGGTGGCCTGTAGTATAGACCTATGGCAATGTCATTTCCCCCTCAACCTTTCATATTGACCCAAATTTCAGGCAAAAGAGGGGAATGAAGATAATAGAGAAAAATCAGCAAATGCACTTTATAGTATTACAGGGGGCACATGAGATTTAAATTATTCTTGAACTGGTATTGTAAGCCCTTCAAGATTCAGGTTCTTTTTTCAACAGGGACAACTCAAACCATGATGCAAATTAAGAAAAAAAATGTACATGTAACAGAAAACCAGTTGAGTGAATTCAAGCCAGTCCCTTTTCCTCAATCCTAAATCACTTCGAAAAATCTTGCCAAGAAAACTGCAGGCACTTGGCCTGGGCAATTGCCAGGAGTCAACAGTGGTTTTAAGGCACCAAAAGGGGAAAAACAATTCTCTGCAAACAAGCAATTTAGAAGAAATGTTCATTACAGATGCTAAGATTCAGAGAAATACGTTTTTTAGCTATAAATTTTAATTGGAGTACCATTAATAAAGGCAGTGTTGTAAAATTTCCAAGACTGTTTTCTGTAAAGAAGTGATAAAAGATGTACGACTATAGATCTGAATTTGCTGGGTGATCTATGCCTGATTACCTGAGCTATATTTTTTCCTTCCCACTCTTGCAGAACTTTTCCCCTTGCAGTGATTGCTTAAATAAGCTATCTCTTGTTAAACTGCTTTTCTTCCCAGCCCAGGGCTCACTTAAAAGGTGCCAAGGGCAGGATAACAAGCTCAGCTCTGTGACCTTACTTGATCAGCTGTCCCTGTGTTCTGAAACTGTTATGACGCTAATCAATTTCATTCTAAATACTTTCTTTGGCTTCCTAGCTGCTCAAGGGTCAAGCTTGCCAGTAAGCTAAACCAACAATTGACGCTAAGGTTTTCCTTTCAATGTGTACTCACTATTGTGTGTTTACTTACTCTCTTGTAATCTCTTCTCTCCAATGAGTTCCTACTTTCTCCACACCCCTTTTCCACCTGGCCTGACCTCTGAAAGACTGAAGCATCACCAGTAGTGAGAACCCAACATCAAAATGCAGAAGCTCCTTCCTTTCAGAAAAATATCTTTAAGACTTTTCCTCATTCCCTTCCTCCCTCTCTCCTTTCCTTTTCCCCTTTTCCTCCCATAAGACACTGAGCTCTGCAATTATTTCCCAAACTTCAAATGCTCAATATTATTTGGTAATCAGCTAAGTTAAGAAGCAAAAGAATTAAATTTGTGATTCTTAAACTTTAGGTCTTAGTTCAGAGGTGTTCAGAGGTTGTAGTCTGTGGTCTTGTTTGAGAGAGTAAAAAACAGATGTAAATCAAATAAATGCAAGCTACCAGTACTTAGCAGAAGATATTCATGAAAAGAAGAAGTGACTGATAAGTCCAGCTGCTAACTGGGGTAATTCAAAAGGGCAATTTCAGAGTGTGGCCCAGTGATGGACATCAGTGGTAAATATAGGTAGCCTGATCAATAATGTATTCAGAGATTGAAGTAATTATATATGGGAAGATGTCCCCAGAACTCAGGGCTAACTGACAAGCCCATAGTAGGTGTATAATACTTAGGAGTGGGATTCCAAGAAGGCAGAACCAATTGGCAGGTATTGTTATCTTGCAGCAACATAGGCCACAAGCAAATTTAATAAATAATTAAGTTATTATGGATATCACAAAGGATAAGAAAAAGTGAGGGAGGGGCATTATACTCTAAAATAGTAAAAAAAAAAAATCTGCATTTTGTTCCTACCAGTTCTTATGGTTTGTATGATGAAAGAGAATTTGCTTCAGAAATACTCTGAGGGGGAAAATAGTTTTAGTTCCTTGGTGGAATCTGGGGTTGTTATTTAATTATAGAGTGGTCAGGATGTGTATACGTATACGTGAATATTTTATCTTTTATCACTTCCTATTTGCTTGCAGGCTCCCCAGATTCCTATGCTTAAGTTAAATTCAAATGGAAGAAATTGTAGAACAGTTTTAACAGCAACAATATTTTTACCACTATCAGAATCTTTCGTTCAATAACTTCTTTCTCAGAAGAAATTAGGAGCAACCCCCCATCTAATTTCTATGCTCATAAACTTGGAGAATTTTGAATGGCCATTTCTGCTTAGCTCTCTCTGTGTGGGGCTCTGCAGTGATTCATTTGCATGTTTGAAAACATGCACCTTGAAGTATCATGCAAATAAAGGCATATCTATTTTGAGCTCCAGTCTTAAGGTTACTTTCAATATATGATACTGTCTTTTATTGAGTGTGACCAGTGATCCATCTAAGGTGGGTGCAGACACAAAAGCTAGAATCTATTTTATTTAGCATGCAAAACTTAATTTTTTGAGCTGTAGCTTCTTCCTTCCCGGTTCTACTTCTCAAATATCCTATGATATGAGGCAGGAATTTACAGCAGATTGACATGAACTGTCCAAGCAATCTGTTTGGGCCAGGATCTCCAAATACTTTACCTCGATATGAGTTATCTCATATATTTTTACAATCTCTGTAGCTAAATTGGAAAGCTTTTGTTAAAAATGGGAGGCTCTGGAACTTTGCCTCTTTATTCCCTAATCCAGGTCTGAGGCTAGTTTTCATCATTTTAGTCAACCAAATCACCTGTAAGTTAAAAAAAACCTATAGCAAATTAAAAAGACATTATTTGCAACCCGAGGAAAAGCAGATGGCTGATCACTGCTCATGCACTTTCCAGTGTTTGTCACCTTGTTAAAAGAAACAACATTAGGGATAACTTGGTTTCTGATAATTTCATTTCCTAGATATTTATAGTACTGGTAAAAGAATGAACCCTCTGACACAACAAAGACGTGGAACATAACTAGATTGTACCTATTATACAGAAAATTTAATTCTCTAAAATTCTGCAATGTAGTAACCAGTGTGAAAATAAGAAAATATTTCTGCCCTGTTCTATGATGATGAGAGGTACATCAAAGCAATTATATTTCACCATCTGCCTTAGTCACGAATCTGGATGCATTCAGATTCAGGCATTCATTTCCTATGTCCAATGGGCTGACTAAGACTGTTTTCAGCAGGAAAGCCTGCTATAGATCTGGAAAACGTGGGAACAGAATTTTCCCAACAGTATTACAGAATAGCTGATAGGAACGGAAGCAGTAACAAGCTCATCATTTTTGAAAACATGCAGTACATGAATAAAGCTAGAAGTGTGAAAAACAAATGTCTCTCAGCCTGGGAAGAATTTGTACTCCTTTGCAAATAGAACACCAACATTTTTTAGTTGGATCATATTAATTTTTTAAAATTCTTTTCATGAATTTGATGTGGCATATATAACATTCCCTCTTCTTATCTGTTCCTGTAACCATAACCCTGGACAATAGGCTGAGCTAAAAAATAATGAGTTGTAATATTTGTTGTGACATGAAGAGCTGCATTGGTGGCTGTAGGTAGTTCATTTATTTTCCTTCCAAAAAATACGCTCAGTCAAATTAATCTGACAACTAAATGGATCACTTATAATTGTAATTTTGAAACCAAATGTATTCGTAGTTTTCACGGGTATAGGTATGCTGGTCTTGTTGTATTCGGGTCTTTTCCCGTGTAAGATTGAGATTGTCTTGGCAACTTTTTGGCGAGGTTTCATTTAGCATTTCCACTTTTGAGTCTTGAAGAAATATTTTCTCTCTATGGTTTTGGCCAACTGTTCTAATATAACAGAGAATACTTTAAGTTCCAATATAAAAATACCTAGAATTTTAAAACTTCAATTTCATTTAGATGACAGTTTTTATTTTGCTGGAAAGATTGTGAGAAAACTGTTAATGATGGGACAACTTTTTGTGAATTATGAAAGAAATATAAAATCACTGCATGTACACAAAAGATGATATATTTCTGAAAGTTTGAGCTGTCCCAAAAATACAGGATTCATTGTTAGGTAAACACTGCCTCTAACACTGGCAATTTAAAATTGTCGCTAATGCAAGAAGCACCTACCAGCCTTGGGGATTGTTTCCAGGTTTTTGGTATGTGAGTTGCCTATAAACTGGACTTCCGTGCTGAATTCCTGTTCTGGAAGAGCCGTGTGCTTTCCTTGCTCTTGTAAGATATGATGGAAAACTGCAGCCAAGTCTGCTTCTGCTACCATGGAGTCCTTCTGCATGGAGACTTCCTCATCATGTGGAAAATCCTCAGTGATCTAAGAAGAATCATCTGTTGGTATTAATAAGCAGGCTACATATTCTCTCATTTGCACACTTACAATTGTTCTTTTCCAACAACTTCTTAATCCAAGTGCATTAATCCAAGAGCTTTAATCAGTTGTGGTATAATACGCCCTGTGTGCCAAAAACATGCGAATACATTTTCATGGGGCATAGACAGGGTAGAACCTGGTCAAAGTCAAAGACTACATTAAAACTGAAAGTTGACTCTTAAGCCACATTTCTTAATATCTGACAGAAATTCAACCCGTCTACCTACATTCTGAAAATGTAGGAAAACTGAACTCATCCAAGATGCCAAAGGTAGCAAACTCTGATGTAAGAAGCTACAATCCCAAGCTATGTTCTCTCATCATGAAAGAATCTAAAAAGGTTTTTTGCCCAGTTTATTGCGTTAAGATGGTCATTCCAGGAGGTGCTGCAGATACAGTTTCTGCTGAGAGACTCACACTACTAAGTACATGGAACGTTTTGATTTTTTCTGAAAAAAGCAAAGAGCCCCAGGCATCTCAGTTTTTCAATAGTCTTAGTTTAAATATATTGCTCACATTTAGGCTACACATTAGACTAACAAAGTTCAATGAATAGAAAAGAAACTGAAAGAACAGAAGAGGATCATAGATTCATACCACCACCAGATCCCTAATACCTGAACGTCTTCTTTCCCAAGACATGGAGAAAACTGGACAGATTGACGACGAGATTGGGAAGAATATTCTGAGTCGGTTTCAAAATCAAAGGAATGTACAGAAAGTAGGCGCTTTTGTTTGCGCATCTTAGGAAGCACAAAAAGCAAAAGATTTAAATTTTCACTGCAAATACAAGATATTACATTTCACATGATCTTCAATAAAGGATAACATCCATCCTGATATTTACTGTATGATAGTAATAGCACTCTAGGCTAGAAATGCTTCAGCCAATATATTCCATTTTCATCAGGCCTCTGCATGTAGTCATACCTGGTGATTTTATCTCAAGTCAAGAGGTAAAATTGCAAGAAGCATTGCTTAAACCTGGGAATATCAAGACTGTAGGTGAGAAATCAAAAAGTACTGTGTTTTCCCGAAAATATGACATGTCCTGAAAATAACGCCAAGCCACATTTTTCGGGTGGGCAAAAATATAAGCCCTCCCCCCAAAATAAGCCTTATGGAAAACTCCTCCTCCAGCCAGGCATAGTGCCACTCACCAACCTAGCGGTATCCTGAAGTTGCCAAGCCGTGGCAACAGTGGGGGGGAGGCGCTCATGTTGCTTGGCGCCTTCGGGATACTGCTAGGTTGGTGAGTGGCACTGTGCCCAGCTGGAGAGGGGGGTTGCCGGGCAGCTGCTCTCTTTTTTTTTTTTTTTTTTTNCAGTTTACAAAATCAGCATATTGCCCCCAACAATTTGGGTCCTCATTTTACCCACCTCAGAAGGATGGAAGGCTGAGTCAACCTTGAGCCTGGTGAGATTTGAACTGTCAAATTGCAGGCAGTCAGCAGAAGTAGCCTGCAGTACTGCACTCTAACCACTGTGCCACCGTGGCTCTTCATATATATATATATATATTGTCATTAAAATTCAACAAATATCTGCATATCAAAGAATGAGATTAACATTAAGAATCATGAAAGAGGTTATAGCTTGTAGCCATTTCAATCTATGAACTGTATTCTTTGCCTCTGAATATATAAAAGTTTTGTCATCCGAGTGATAAATAAAAGCACCAGAAATTATTTAATTCATTATGTGGTTGAGAAACATACTTTTGTTAACATTGTCTGTAAAATAATGGCTTGGACTCAACCAATGAATTTTTATATTGATAGTATTCGAGCTATGACCATTTGTTCAGTGATAGTTCAAAGTTACAACACCAACCAAATGATGGTTATGACTGGTCCTTGGAGTTCTATCCATCCACCAACTTCATGGTCATGTGATCATAGTCTGGGCTTTTGGCAACCAGTTCATATTTATGATCAGTTGCAGCATCAGAACAGATGCAAATTATTGCCGTTTGCAGCCTTCTTTGTTGGCTTCTCCAGAAATCAGTAAAGAAGCTGGCAGGGAAGGCCACGAATCTGCTATAAATCAAGAGTTACCTTTATTTCCACATTTTTCCATACATGAAAAATATTATAACATAATATTGAATAAGTGTTCTGAGGAAACAATCATGGTCTTGGTAATAAATATGGTTGTTGGCAAAGTAATATCTGTACATATTAAATTTTGTCTGTATTTCTCCAAGAAATAGATGTCACTTTATTTCACGGTTATGGTTAGCTTCCCTTTCAATTTTTGAGCCCAGATACTACTTTCACTACTTTTACAATTATTGTACAGGTGTTCTTCAACTTACAACTGTTAAATGAGCCTAGAATTTTGTTCTGTAAGTCGTTGTGGTTGATGTTGAGGTATCACGTGTAATTTTTTGATCATTTTTGTGGTGGCTGTTAAACAAATAGATTTTCCTCGATAGGTTTTTTTTTGTCAGAAACTGGAAGCGAATGCCAGAAACTGACAAAAAAAAGATGGGAAGCTGCAAATGGCCATAAAAGTGAGTTGCCAAGGGCCCAAAACGTGACCATGGCATATCTTTGTGCAGCCTTAGCAACTTTGAACAGTTGCTAAGCAACCTGTCAAAAGTCAAGGCGTACTTGTATTTGCACTGAGCTGGCACTCATAGTTAATAAAATTGGGTTTATTATGTAATACTGAGCAACTGATTGATTTTTGTGCTTTGTCTTTCACCTTCAACTAGGGTTCCTTAAATCTTTTCCATTTCCAGTCACTAAACTAGTATTCATCGACTTTGCTTAACAAGTGTGGCAAAAAGAGATAATGAAACTGGGCACAACTCACTTAACAACTACCTTGCTTACCAATGGAAATGCTGATCCCAATTGTGGTTTTAACTTGAGGACTACCTGTATACTGCTATCTGTAATTGTTTTGTTCTACTATTCCCTATTTTCTTCACCTTGGTGTCCTTTCATTTTGATTTGAGTCTTATCATAGTTTTCAAAACAAATCTCCAAAAGAGAAAAATATAGCATAGAAGCATAGAAGCTACCCAATATCAATTTACCTGATTTCCAGAATGACTTACATTTTCTTGTGAGGATGCTCTGCTCCTGTGTTTTGTGTTCTGTGGTTGATAGATGAAAGTTTCTTGAGCCGCCTTTTCGTCTTCATCAGAAGTATCCACCTTAGCTGAGCACTGGAGTTGGAGTTGCACATTCCATGGACTGTCTTTAGGAACAGAAGAGGGTTGGACAATTGGTGATCAGATCAATAATTAACAGATTCACCAGTAACATTTTCTGTTTTCACAAGAATTTACAATACAATAGCAGAGTTGGAAGGGACCTTGGTGGTCTTCTAGACCAACCCCCTGCCTAGGCAGGAAATCCTATACCGTTCCAGACAAATGGCTATCCAACATCTTCTTAAAGCCTTCCAGTGTTGGGACATTCACAATTTCTGGAGGCAAGCTGTTAATTATTGATCTGATCACCAATTGTCCAACCCTCTTCTGTTCCTAAAGACAGTCCATGGAATGTGCAACTCCAACATCTTCTTAAAGCCTTCCAGTGTTGGGACATTCACAATTTCTGGAGGCAAGCTGTTCCA